AAAAATGCATAAGTTAAATAAAGAAAGAGGACGTTATGTGCTCCTCCAAGGACTTTCCATTCACGAATGTAGCGTTTGTTGCAAAGAGCGAACCGATTGGGCTCCTACAAGAGGTCCACATACACACATGCAGTGAATGTTGTATCGCTCGTTTATGAAGGGGCCCACATTCGATTTTCAGTAAAGTATAGGTAATTTTTAATTTTCTTTCAGGAGTATCATTAATTTCAGGTAGAGGCCTGGATACATGCTCAAATTTCTATCAATTTTCGATCAAATGGTGACTGGTGCGAAGCATCTACCGTCAAATTTTTATGGCCTGCAAAAATTGGACCGTTATTTTTGTCATCATTTTGATCGGAAATTGACGGAAATTTGAGTCTGTATCCAGGCCTTAAGGGATTGGCAGAAGAGGGTGGCACTTTACTCAAAAGCACTGTTTTTATTGGCTCTCTGGAGGAATATTGTCACTTACTCTGCCGTGCTACGGAAAAATGCCGTATAAACCTTCAGGCGTTGCCAAATTCCCTCTGACAAATCACTCGTTTTCAGGAAAGTTGTTGAAAATTTTTCTGCCAATTTCCCGGATAATTTTGTTTATAGTTTGATCTTAAGTGTCTGAAAATTTCAAAGAAAAATATTCACAATTTTCCTCCAAAATAAACATTTTATCGGATGAAATTTGGCAACTCTCGAATGTTCATACAGCGTTCTTCCTTAGCACGGCAGTACTGCTGTCTTGCCTGAAACTACGACATTTTTTGCGTTCCCACGGCTTTTTCATAAGTCTCGTTTTGATACAATTAAGATGAGCTTTGCCGTTTTAGGTATTTCAGTGATTTCATCTAAAAGAGTTTAGACGCATTTTGAAGGAAACTCGACTCGAATTCGAAAATTCGACACTTACTGCTCTCTTCGCTATCACGGCAGTAGGGCCAGCAACCTCCATCGGCGCCTCTTTCGAAACCCCCACTTTGATAGCTTAACCGAGGATCCCTTTTTCCGTCATGTCAAACGAGCCAACACCCGGAGGGATCGGTTTCGAATCACCGGCGGCCCGCGCACCTGGGCCGGGGCCTTTCCGAAGCCGCTCATGAAAATGCATGACGTCACGGGCGCGGGAGCGAGAAAAATTAACACGACCCGCTTCCCGAGCGGAAAATCGCGGGAGCGATGCGCATAAATCGCAGCGCCTCTGACGAAACAGCGTATCTGCATTTTCCGGCGGTCCTCGGAAGCTGTATGATGATGCGGATGAAAGGGCTCATCCCGAAATAGAGTTATGTCCTTACGTTAGAGGAGTTCAGAATAATATGTAACTCATCCACCCGCTCCTTCAGCGCGGGCCTTTTTTCAGCTCGGCGATTCGGAATAAGGCATCGGCCGCGAATACTGCCGTGCTAAGGGAGAACGCTGTATGAGCCTTCAGACGTTGCCAAATTTCCTTTGATAAAACACGCATTTCCTGGTAAACTTATGAATACTATCCTTCCAATTTTCAGATAATTTTGTTAGCAATTCCACCTCGAGTTCCTGAAAATGTCAAAGAAAAACATTCATATTTTTACTCAAAAATAAACATTTTATCGGAGGAAATTTGGCAACTCTCGAATGTTCATACGGCGTCCTCCCTTAGCACGGCAGTATTCGGGGCCGATGCCTTATTTCGAATCGAGCCTTCAGACGTTGCCAAAATTCCTTCGATAAAACACGCATTTCTTGGTAAACTTATGAATACTATCCTTCTAATTATTCAGATAATTTTGTTCGCAATTTCACCTTGAGTTCCTGAAAATGTCAAAGAAAAACATTCATATCTTTACTCAAAAATAAACATTTTATCGGAGTAAATTAAGCAACGTTGAATGTTTATGCGACGTTTCTTCTTAACACGGCAGTGCAACTGCCGTGCTAAGGAAGAATGCCGTATGAACATTCGAGGGTTGCCAAATTTCCTCCGATAAAATGTTATTATTGAGTAAAGATGTGAATGTTTTTCTTTGACATTTTCAGGAACTCAAGGTGAAATTGCGAACAAAATTATCTGAAAATTTGGAAGGATAGTATTCATGAGTTTACCAGGCAATTCGTGTTTTATCAAAGGAAATTTGGCAACGTCTGAAGGCTAATACGGCGTTTTTCCTTAGCACGGCAGGATAGAGCCGAACCGCGGATTCGGACGCGATTCACGCGGTTTTCGTGAAGCGAGTCGCACCTAACCTAACCACGCAACTTAATTTACTTAGATTTTTGGTTCACGTCAGCTCATATCCTTTGAGTAGAAATTAAGTACAGATTACGTTAGGCCCACAAATTATTATCAGTGAATGACAATACGATTATTTGGATTGCATTTTGCAAAAAGGAACCAGGAGCATTCCAATGTTGCTAGGGTTGTGCAACTTACATTCTTTGCAAAAAATTACTGAAATCATGCACAAAATTTTTACGAAGGTAATTTTCGTCTTTTTGTCGTTAGTTGGGAGTAAAGATAAAACGTGTTCAGATCATCAGTTTATTTGTAACACCGGAAAAAAATAATATGCTGTTTTAGCATCTAGGATGTCAAAAATGTGTCTGGTGATCCCAAGATGCTGCCTTTACTGCCCCCGCAGTTAATTTTACATCCTGTGAATGCAAATTCAACTGCGGGGGCAGTAAAGGCAGCATCTTGGGATTACCAGACACATTTTTGACATCCTAGATGCTAAAACAGCATATTATTTTTTTCGGTGAAGGTAAAAAGAGTTGCACAATCTTAGCGACATTAAAATGCTCTTGTCCTTTTTGCAAAATGCAATCCATTTTTCCTAATTTATTCGGGTCAAACTAACTTGGTATCGGAGAGAAGATACAATGATCTGTTACCTCAGGAGTCGTAGACCAGATCCTCGACACCGCGATACGCGCCCTCAGCGTTCAGATAATGGCCCTTACTATCGATCAAGTAGGGAGCGGATGACGTCACCCGCTAAACGCAAACGATTTTCGCCCATTAATTTGTCAACGATGCGGGAAGTGGGATCTTTTCACACGGATCTCGGGCACGGAGAGCTTTTCAATGGTCTCAATAAATGTAGATGTGCTCCGACGTTGCCAATCCGTTCGAGACGTGTGATTTTCGGGGAGCGGTGAACCCTGCGGACCGTCGAGTGTCGGCGCCACCGCCGGTCCAGGTTCCGTTTGAAATATTTATAGCCCTGGCCCAGTTTGGACCCGGGGTGAAAAGAGGCTACGGTAGCGGTTCTAAAATTCTGCGCCATAACCGGAAATCCGGGTTTGCTCGACTTATTGAATGCCGTTACCGAATATCCGGGCGCATGTTGCCTACCGTCAAAGCGGTATCGATTAGTGAGGATTCGAACTCCGGGTTGAAGAGATCCGATTTTTTTTCTTTTTACTTTCTCGTTCCCCTAAGAGGAAGTATTGTCATCCTGCAAGGGAAAAAAAAGTTGAAGTTTCATCATTTCTAAACGTTCTAAGGTCCCAGGAGTCAAAATAACCATTCTTGAAAAATGTGTGTCCGTCCGTCAGGCGTCCCCCAAATCTGTGTACAGCGATATCTCAGAATCTATCTGTTCCATTTCATTCAAAATTTGCAAAGAACACCACATCTACGGTCTCCTAGACCGTATTCGATAACGGTTCGATGTATCGTTTGGTTCAAAACAATAGAATATAACCTCAAACCAAACTGTAAGGATTTAAGTTGGAAAAGCTGAAAATGAGAATTTCCTGACAATTTCCCTTTGAATTGGCATTTGGTACTCAAAAGAATAAAAATCTGTTACAAAAGACCCGTTCTCTCAGATTTCTGAATTTACTTTTGAGGCTATGTTTATGTTTTGAACCAATCGATATCGATATAATCTCAGCCGTTTGATGTATCGAATACGATCCATTATCGACGTCAAACAATTTTGGGGTGCGCTAAAATCAGGGAAATTTCCAGCAAAAATTCAGAATAATTAATGGTTTGTTTTGAATACCCTTGACGTTACGGAAAACTGAGAGAACATGGTTCAAAATAGTTTCGTCTGAAAAGATTATCTGAAACTGATGATAAACGCTTAAGGCTGTCTACCCAGTTCCCAGATGTAAATCAAGAGTATCGTCATGATAATCTCATGAGAAAAATCAATGTCTCAAAGCTATTTTTAAACTGTTACTCTGTGTAATCAAAAGTGTTCCATGCATAGTGTCAATTCTGATTGTAGTGCTGAAAATATACTTACTTGTCTGATACTCTAAAATTGATCTGCGGAGATAAAATTTTGAATTTACACTACGCATGAAGAATTGTTGGTTTTTTTAGAAAAAAAAAGAAAAAAATCAGACCGTCACTTTTAAAATTTTATTCCGATGTGTTTTCGTACAATAACAAATTATCAGCTTTATATAAGATAAAATCACATTTTCTTATCAGTGGCGAGGCTTGAATGATCGATTATCGATTTTTCCCCATACGAAGCTATGGTAAAGACTCGATTATTAAGGTGTTCGCTGCGAACACCCTACATATCGATCCTTTTTCATAGTTTTAAATGGCAGATCAATCGATGTATCGCAAAGCACGCAACGCCACTGGTTCTTATCCAGGGCTAGCCGCTCACAAGTCATTATCCAGAAAAGCAATTCTCACGTGTGTAATGTATATCATTCAGTGACGATTTTACCACTTGGCAACACTCTTTTACTCCATTTAAAGTAATTAAAAATATCTATTTTAGTGAGGCAAGCTGCCCGACCAAGAATCGATTTTTTTACGTAGCTTAAGTGCAGAAAAAACAGTGTTGCCAACTTTCAAGAATCGTCTTGGACATCTTTTATTTTATTCTTATACACGAAATATCTGTCTGATGTATATTCATTTGGAATGTATATTTTATTTTATTTGCTCCCTATAGCAAAGAGCTATGTCGCATTCCATGCGTTTCGTGTCTTACAATTCAGTGGTGATTTTTGTTAGTGTGCGACTTTAACGAAACTATTATTTTCAGGCCCTCCAGTCGAGGTCGGGGTGACCATGTATGTCCTCAGCATCAGTTCCCTCTCGGAAGTGCAAATGGTACTCATCCCTTGTCTCCTCAATAGTTTATCTTGCACTTGAGTATACATATATATACAATTGTAGCTGGACCCTCGAGAATGCTGACCGAGCGCTGTGTATTTAGACGCCATCTATCGATTAGATTTAGTACTAGACGTGTTCTCCTGCCTATGAGTGTTTCTTTAGACTTTTGTGTTGGTGTTATATCATCGCGGAGCGTTTTAGAGAGAGGCTTTTTGCCTTCCACAATTTTATCAGGATGTTGATTTAAGCATTATTCTTGATGATGAATGATTTTTCAATCACCAATACATTTTCGATTCAAAATATAATTTTATTATCTATTCTGTAAGTATCTCTGTATTCAGTATTACACTTAAATGAACATCACATGAATTATCGACACACGAGTGTCAGTATTTGTACATTTAGTAGACTGCTGTACCATTGCAGATGAGCGTCTCTAAAACGCTCCGTTTTGTCTCGTTGAGAATCATGCATCCATCAAAGGGTTGCCAAGTTTTGAGAAAATTCCAGAATTTTGCAGAGTGCAAGCTCAAAGAAAAAGTCAGGAATTTATTCAGAGCTTGACCGCTCTGCGCCAAAGGCAGTCATTCCGCTCACAGAGTGCTAACCCCTTCTTTTTTTTTAGTCAAACTTATTGTTTGCTACGTATTGGCACTATAAATCATTATTAAAGATATTTTTTAGTAGACGTCGGGACCACGTGTGGAAATAATCGAGATAATCAGATTCCTGGTAGTATTCAACATGCTGTGGTAGATTTTTACCGAAAACCGAAAGCATGTTAAATTATAGAATTCAGGCGATTTACCTTTTCCCAAAATTCTAATGAAGTTCAATACCATGTAGATTTATAAACACATTTTTCCGTGATTAGCAAAACTTTTAAATTGGGGACATAATTTTCGCATTGCCTTGCTAAGGAATAACGCCGTATGAGTGTTCAGACGTTGCCAATTTCTTTCATAAAATTTAACTTTTTTCCTCGAATTTCGCAGAGAACTTAATTTTTTTAATTCAGTTCAATGAAGTGTCTGCAACTTTCAAAGAAACATATACAAGACTATTGTCAAAGAAAAAAAAATGATATATTTACTCTATAGGGATAAATTTGGCAGCGTTCGGATAGACGTACAGCGTTCTTCCTTAGTACGGCATTATGGCAGTCACGGTAGACAGAACAGCAGCCTAAGCAGATGAAGAGTGTGAATTCATCTGGATGAAAGCATACTTTTGTTTGTCTCCATTTAAAACGAAGGAGAAGGAAACACAAGCTGTCATACTTATTTTTCCACGTGTCCCGCTGCACCTCTGTCCCCGGGTTTAACAAATCGTAATGAAATAATGAAATGCACCGACGAAGGTCGTGGTGGAATGACTGGCCCTCCCCGATCATAATTCCATTTTAGTTCTCACTTTCCCTCCCCTACCCCGACGCACTTACAACCCACACACTCCTCCGCCACGCTAAGTAGAAACGCCGTAAAAGTCACCAGGCGTTGCCAAATTTCCCTCGACAAATCACGAATTTTCAGGGAAATTTTTGGATACATCCGTTTCGATTTTTAAACGGATTTCGTTCGTAATGTGGTCTACAAAGTTCAAAAATTTCAAAGAAAATAATCCATACCCTCCTTCATAAATAAATGCACTCTGAGAGGAAATTTGGCAACATTCGAATGCTCATACGGCTTTTTTACTCAGCACGGCGGTCCTCTCCGACCGTGCAGAAAAATTTCCCCGCACACGTTCCTCCTGAAATGTGATTAAACGTAAATTAGGATTGTGGGTCAGGCCTCGGCGCCCCCAGCAGAGGGACTGGAGTTTCTCACCTTCTACTTTAATTGCGGCGACGCACTTTGCCGAAAAGGAAGCCTTTTCATAATTGTCAGAGAAGGGAAAGGACGAGATTTCTCACCCGCCTCAACGCTCAGTGGGCGACGGATGGTCGAAAACGGGTCCGTGTACAACTTATACTACGCGAACTTTATAAATCGCCTTCAATTTTGGATGATACCGTACGACTCACTCTCGTGCTGATTTAGTTGTATCACTCCAAACCGATACTCCGGTCGCTACTCTAGGGTACTCCCAATCTCGATCAGGCCGACTCTTGTCACTCAAATTTTTTACATGAATCCTCGCCGTTAAGCCTATTATTTACCATCCGACTTTTAATACTGAATCTAATTAAAATCAGTTTGCAAACGTTTGTCAGTGTAAAAGGAATTTTCTTCTGTACGAGATGTGGTCTAAAAAGATCGATAAACACATCAGAAAAATGTTCCTTGTTCGTTTTTGCCTGAGGAACTTTAAAGTTATTAGGGAAAATTTTCGTTTCTCGTTTATCGGACAACTTTGTGACCATCCGCGGAAAACGCCACATTAGCCCAGCGAAACTCATGATCGAATACGCCAAAAATTGCTGAAAGGAATAGAGAGCCATGATTATTTTGAGTTTCTAGTTCAAAAAATTGTAGTTTTGGAAAAAGCTACTTAAAATCCTAAGCTGCCGTGTTCCAAATTCGTAGCGAAATCTTCGCATGAAAGTACAACTTTAAGCTCTATCGGCATGCAAACTAACAAAATGGCTCCCAATTCCGCTTCAATTTTTCCGTCAAAATCGCAGAATCCGATTTTCTTACGTAAGTCAATTTAAAAATTTTCTTTTCTTGACTAAGATTTTTTTCCCCTTAAATAGTCAGAATTAACAAACAGTATCATTACTTAGCATACCAGTTACAATTCAAAGAGCGCCGGTTTTTAAATCCTGGCTCAAATGTAAGATTATTCCTTCCAAAGTCACAGGGCTCAGAGCATATTTTTTCGGTCACCAAAATTTGGACTGCCGTCCACTGAGCGGCGAGATGTTTCTCTTCCCTTCGCTTTTTATATTTTTGATAAATGTTCCACGCTCGAACCCGTTTTCGGTGCTTGTTAAACCGAACTTCTGGCAAGAAGACAAAAAGGCGCCCAAACTCAAAAATATGTTCGACTTCGCCCGCTTTCCTCCGTTTTGATACTCAAACCTCAAAGTTCGAGACCTACACTACCGTGCTAAGGAAAAACGCCGCATGAACCTTCAGGCATTGCCAAATTTACTTTGGCAAATTACGAATTTCCGGGAAAATTTTCAAATATTTTTCCTCCAATTTTTCAGATAATTTTGTTCGTAATTTCACCTACAGTTCCTGAAAATTTCAAGGAAAAATATTCCTAGCTTCCCTAAAAAATAAGCATTTTATGGAAGAAAATTTGGCAACTCTCGAATGTTCACACGGCGTTTTTCCTTAGCGTGGCAGGTACACTGCCATGTTAAGAAGAAACGTCGTAAAACATTCAATGTTGCTTAATTTGCTCTCTGAAATAAACTTATTTTTGAGGAAAGTCGTGAATATTTCTCAATGATATTTCCACTCACTTTGGTCAAATTACCCACAAAATCCTCTGAAAAATTGGAGGTAAAATACAAACGCGTTTTCCTGAACATTCTTGATACGTCGAAGGAAATTTAGCAACGCATGAAGGCTTATAAGACGAAAATTTGTAATATTAGTCCATTTAATCTTCTTCAGCCTTGTTCCTTCTCGAAACTTTAGTAACCGTCTGTTAAATTGATTATATTTACTCCACATCAGTTTATTTCTTCCAACTCCTCCTTCCTCACTCTTAAACGATCAATTTGAGTTTTGACTATACAAGCTTGAAATGTATGCATGTATTACCCAGAAACCTGAAATAAACCCACAACAAAATAAACCCACAAACCCACAGACAAATCACACTATCATGAGTCCTTACCGGACAACTTATTTATTCACCATTATACACTCATTTTTATTTTCAGGATTTCTTTACGGAAAACTTGACGATGATACGTTAGTCACGGAATCTTATTTTGTTCATTACGACTTTTAAGTTTGCGGAAAAAAGTTAGGCGTGTTTATTCACTCAAAAGACAAGGAGTAGCCAGTGCATCGGATGGGTCTATAAAAGGTGGCAGGAATGGTATATGCTGCCCCGAATAGTTCTGTCTTAGGGTTTTGGCATATATATGTATTAGTATTTTCTGCTTATCCTCTCAAACCTTCAAAACTTGATTTCATGACCAGCGCAATGGACCAATCATTCCTTCTATTCACATGTAATACGGTTTTATGAATGAATTCTAGTCCAGTTCTTAAACCCATCGAGGAGATGGTTGATTATGATAACTTACGCGTTCTTCAACAAAAATTCCGACTCACGGGTCTAGTCGCGAGTGTCATACAATAATGATTGTTTGTTTACAGGTCATAAAATATGTCTGATGCCGTTTGTATGTCTCTCATAACAATTACAATCAAAGATACAATTATAATTGCAATTATCTTGATCACATTTCTATATTAGTTATTGAATAAAGGATTCACACTTTCCCTTCATGATTTAAAATGTCAATATACTAATTTCTTTTTTTACTGTAATGAGTTGAAACTTGTAATTATCTGCCCATGCTTTATTGATGCATCATGAATACATATTTATTAACAAGTTTTTCAGGGAATGAAAAAGTAATGTCACGGGCAAATGTATCATTTGTATATGTATATCATGTGAATAATTGTTTTATTGTCCTAAATTTCGTGTATAATGACAATTTTTAGTTTCAGGTTTTGTGGTGTATGTTTGCCATTTCCCCCCCCCCCTTTACTGTGCAGACTCACTCTTTAAATCCAAGCATTGATGTAAATATTGTCATTTTAACAATGCAATTTGTGGACTAATTTTCAGTTTCAGCATGAACATTTCAGTCATGTTCTTTTCATTTTTTTAGAATCATTTTAAGTTCAATCAAGCGTTTGATTGAATCCTGATAATTTGTAAAATGATAATTTATTCCTTGAAGGTAATTACAGTTCGTACTTTGTTTATCAATTTGAGGCAAATAGCGCCCAAAAATCAGCACGTTACGCGAACCAACAAATCCGCTTGATTTTTACCACCTAAAAGCG